AACTAACAACGAGGAACATAGGTAGGGTCAAAAACAAAATAAACTAGACTATTTAAAGTACAACTATGAAACTGGTTATGAATGTGCAGGTTTTGGCATTCAAACATTCAGCAAATCCTTTTGAGAAAAATTGCTTGAAGCTATCTAAACATGCCCAACTTTTCATCATTTGCTATTAAGAAAACGAACCTGCATTACAAAAGTTTAGAACGTTACCTGAAGAGATAACGTGTCGGATCCACTTAAAAAGGCCTATCTAGAGAGGCAGTTGAAAGATCATCAAAGGGAATGGGGTTAAAGGCCTAGGACAAGTCATCATGGCGGTAACTCTACCTAGCAGACCGGAGATCCCAAGAGCTAGGTTCAAAGAGATCAAACAAAGTTATGAATGACAGTTCAACATTGTCAACTAACTCAACCCATTCTCGTGATGAAGACAATGTTCAAAAATGAGGTAAAGCATTAAGGCTTTTTTGATGAGCCAATAAAGCTTAAAGATTTTTAATGATTTGCTAAGTCTGGCAGGATATGACCAGATAATGTGTCTTTAGGATTACATGTTTAGGAATCACCTATGTGAGTGTGAAGTGTAAGCCGCTTCAAGGAGAATGAAAGTAAAGGCCCATTCTCTAAGCACTCATGAAACCAGGCGGTGTTCATGGCTGAAACGAACACAACCGTGAGAACCATAGATGGTTAAGGATTGATTATGTGACTTATGTTGTCTAGGTATACAACAAAGCTCGACGGTTCAAAGATATCAAATCTACCGATTGACCGAGTATATCCGATATAAGTTCACTACGGAAAGTTCAAAGGGAAACCTACTTATCCAGATGCAATCAATTCTTGTTTGTAAAACACACACACATCCGTGCATTCCTTTAAGTTTATAGCCATTCCCCATTCATGTGGGGGATTGTTGGATTTGTTATTTAATAAATAATAACAAAAGAGGTGTGAATAGAAAATGGTGAAAAAAGAAATGGAGGGATGACCCGCGACCCGGTCCGGTCTAGCCCGTTTTTCTTTCCCGGATTAATTTAAATTCGTTTTAAATTTCCCGCAAAAAATTTCCAACAATCATGACTGTTCTGAAAGGTTGCAAACCTCTTCAGAGGGTCACACCTATTCCAACAGCCATGACTATTCTGAAAGGTTGAAACCTCTTCAGAGGGTCACACCTACTCCAACAGCCATGACTATTTTGAAAGGTTGCAAACCTCTTCCGAGGGTCACACCTATTCCAACAGCCATGACTATTCTGAAAGGTTGCAAACCTCTTCAGAGGGTCACACATGTTCCAACAGCCATGACTGTTCTGAAAGGTTGCAAACCTCTTTAGAGGGTCACACCTGTTCCAACAGTCATGATTATTCTGAAAGGTTGCAAACCTCTTCAGAAACATCACCAAGTTGGCTATAAATAGACCTTCAAATCCCAGAATATTTACTTACGAAATTTTCTAATTATCTTCTTCTTCTTCTGCACTAAAATTCCAGTGTGTTTTGCTGTCATCGAGTGGTTCGCTGATCATCGGCGTTTTTGGTACCAACACTCCGGTGAGTTAAATTGTTCTATCCTAGGAGGATATATTCTATAACCTCGGGTACTTGAGGGGAATAATTTCCTTAAGGACACATTGTGTATTCAGTGGGCTCGATTTGTTCCTTCAACGTTTCAAAAATTATTTTGAAGTTCGAATATTATTTTTCAGAATTATTTCTACTAACTTTCTGTTTTATTTTTCAGAAAGATTACTATTTTATTTACTTATAGCAATACAGATAAATAACAAAAAATGCCATTAAAATGGCCCACCTAACAGTGTTTAATGGCTTATTAGCCTTCCTTTTTTAAAATTTATATTTCTTTTTATTTTCTCATCTTTTTATTTATATTTCACCTTCCTTCCTCATCTTTTTACCTTTCTTCTCCATTTTTCACCTTTCTTCTCTATTTCTTCACCTGAAATTCGCTCTTTCTTGTCAAATCCCTAACCGGCCTTCTATACCGATTGAGGAGCAGAATCCTAGTTTTTATCTTGATTTTCAAACAGAAACAAGAATATACAAAGCAATTGAGGTTAGAACCAAGATTAATGGAGAAAATCGCTACTGAGAGGTGTAGCCATTATCTGATGAGAGCTAAGAGAAAATGAGTTTTTTACAATTGAGCCACTAGTTTTAATCCTAGCCCCTTTTTTTATTTTTTATCATGTAAATTTTTACAATGATATAATAAAGAATATTAAAATCAATCTGTGTTTTAGATTAAGCTAAAACAAATATCCACGTAGGTTGTCACATGACAGATTTTAAAAATAATTTAGAGCGCGTATTATATGTACTAGTAAGAATGCGATGAGGGGGTTTTATTATGAAGGGGATATAGTTCAGGGGGTTTTGGGGGACAGGCGATAATTTAGGTAAGCAACTGACAAAGATTATATAGTTTAGGCGGGTTTTAGGATATTAACTCTTTGTTTTAAAATGATGACAATTGCATACTTAGTTGTGAGAAGCTTATTAAATGACCTATGTGTTTCCCGTTGCACTAATTTTGGCCAAAAAATAGAAGATTGTGATGTCCAATATTTGGTATTTTAACTTGGTGTGGCAAGTCATAATGGTTATGGACTTCCTGGTAAAGCATGAAACTAATATTATAATTAACCTAGAAAGTCATCTTAAACTTGTTATAGCCCGTTTGGCCAAGCTTCTAAAATCAGTTATTTTGAGAAGTACTTTTCTCAAAAGTACTTTTAAAAAAAGTGCTTTTGGTGAGAAGTAGTTTGTGTTTGGCTAATTAATTAGAAAAATACTTTTTAGCAGTAATTAGTGTTTGGCCAACCTTTTGAAAACTACTTCTAAGTGTATTTTTCTCAAAAGTGCTTCTTAAAAATTGCTTTTAGAGAGAAGCTACTTTTTTCTGCTTCTGCTTCTCCTCAAAAGCACTTTTTTTCCTTCCAAAAGCTTGGCCAAACACCTCAATTTTTGGCCAAAAGTGTTTTTGGCCAAAAAAAGCACTTTTGGCCCAAAAAAAAAGCTTGGCCAGTTACGTTGAACAGTGAAACAACTTGTTCGTCCGCAATTTCAACTCTACCATGAATTCATATATTTCAACTAACTAAAGCACACGAAAATAATTCATTTGAAGAAGTATAGTATTTTGGAATGCCAATATTGTTGGAAGAAAGGGAATGCCCTCATTGATTAGGAAGAGCTCGATTTTTCACTTCATAAAAATATTGTCCTCTCTAGGGTTAGTAAAGAGCAAGAAAAAAGAAAATTAGGCAAATAACGAGCATGCGGGACTAGTTAATGGCTAGTAAATAATAACAATACCAAGTTTACGGGATCAAATAATTTAGATTTACTGAATATAAAAAGAAAGCAATGTGAGTTTTGCCAAGGTAAAATCAGAAATAACAAAGTTATGAAGAGGTATCCATTCTGAGTACAAAATAGTAATAACTAAAATGAAAATTTTAGGATCAAAGGGGATGTAGCTCAGATGGTAGAGCGCTCGCTTAGCATGCGAGAGGTACGGGGATCGATACCCCGCATCTCCAGTGTTGTATTTCTTTTCCGTTTATTTATGAAAGACGTGTTTCATGATTTAAAGCCAAAACTTCCGCTGAACAAAAGGTAAATATAACACGATAAGAGTGCAAGTGGAAAATAAATGAATTACTCTTTTTCGTGACCCTAGTCTTTAGTTTTCCTCTTCAAGCGATCTATGTGCGTGGGTCCTTTTCTTGCACAATTGGAATTTAGTACAGCCTTAATTGCGTCAAAAAAGAAAAAGTCAGAAACGGAAGTTTATAATTAAAAAAAATGGAGGTTTATGATGCCAGAAATTACATTAAGACCAAGGGATTGAAAGCTTTTCTTTACAATTACTCATTATATGTACACTCTTTATATTTTGTGTTTGCTCTATGTTCTATACTTCTATGCCTATACTAAAGGCCATTTTGAATGGAATAGTAAAAAATAAAACGAAAATGTTATATCAAGGGGATGTAGCTCAGATGGTAGAGCGCTCGCTTAGCATGCGAGAGGTACGGGGATCGATACCCCGCATCTCCATTGTTGTACTCCTTTTCAATTTATTTTTCAGTTTATTTATGAAAGACGTGTTTCATGATTTAAGACCAAAAATTCCTCTGAAGAAAAGGTAAATAATAATAGGATAAGAGTGCAAGTGGAAAATAAATGAATTACTCTTTTTCGTGACCTTAGTCTTTAATTAAAAAA